CTTCCAATTTTACCGAACAGTCATAGGAGGAATACATGCTTAACATTAAACGTATGAATCTCTTGCTGCAACCATTCAAGATCAATTTGAAGAAAAGACCCTCCCTCCATTCACTATCGTAAGCTTTTTTGAAGTCAATAAAACAAGCAAAGATTGGTTTACGTTTTGATTTGTAATAATCTATTAGAGTTTTCAAAACTAATAGATGGTCGGCTGTCCTATAATTTTTTCTAAATCCGATTTGGCAATTACTCATAATGTTGAGTTCGTCTAGATATTTATTTAGTCGTTCATTCATAATTAATGTGAAAAATGTTCCCAAACAACTGCTTATGCATATTCCTCTATAATTATTCGGGTCGATATTACTTCCTGATATATAAATGGGGACTATAAAACCTTTAGACCAAAGTGATGGGAAGTGTCCATTGGACAAGATTTTATTAAACAGTTTTTCAAAGTAGGATGGCAGAACCTCAACTGCTAGTTTAATGATCTCATTGGACAACGAGTCATTGGCACTGGCTTTCTTATTCTTTAATCTTTTTGATAATTTGTACACTTCTTCCAGTGATACTGGTCCATAGGCGTACGGGAGGGTGGGGCTGGGGGGGCTGCAGCCCCCCCCCCCAATTTTTTGAGAATTTATCTATATTCGGGCAAAAATTGTCTTGTCATTCGGGCGATGACGGTCTGGTGGTTAGACGAATATATTGATCTATAAAGCGGAACAGAAGTATTATTTCAACAAGTTCAACTTTTACAGGTTCAATCATGCACTGTAAATCTGTAATGGCAACGTTTGTGTATATTTATTACTACAATAGATCGCATAGCTGGATTCAAGCATGTTGCGTCAGGTTAACCTTCATTAAGCTATATAAGTATATAGTATATAGCTGCACATATTCCGAAGGTGTGGTATAAGTGTGCGTAGTAACAATCGGATCAGTAATGTTTATCTCCTTGAAAGCATTGGTTACTAAATACAGTCTCTGGCCCTGGGCGGCACCGCGGCTATGACACACCAGTCACTGAAAATAGATACTATACATTATAATTGACATTGACGTAACCGTACAAATACTGTACAATGACCTAATGTGACTAATTTTAGACTTTTAGATAGACATAAAAGTGCGCGATTGTTTTACAATCATTAAAAAATTGTTGATTTTACGACCATTAACTCCACGATCGCTATGGAAACAATCGCCTAGAAGATTACAATGGCATCTCGTAAAAGACAGTACCGACATCGCGTTCGGTGCGAGGAATGCAATAAGGAAATCGACAGTGATTATAAAGAGGTGCATTCTCGATTTGTTCACAATGGTAAAAAAGTAAAATGTCATCCAGTGATGGAATCATCGGATTCATCCCAGTCGAAACTCAATACTTTCTTTGTAAAAAGTAACATGACAACCAAGGACAATGACCTGCAGTATGACCTAACCCTACTTGGAACTGAATCGAGTGGTTGTAAAGATTCTGCAGTCACAGTGTCTTTTGATGAAGATCTATCTGAGAAAAATGTGAAGGAACCCATGAGCGAAGACCAAACGGAACCAATGACAACGTTCATTGATGTTGATGAATTAGCCTTTCTCACGATGACGAATATCCGCCATTTTTGGGTGGCATCAAATTCTCGTTAACCAATGCGGAGAATTGAAACAATGTGAAAAGCAATTTTTCAAAATAAACTAACCATTTACAAAGCAAACTTACCATAATTTGTCAAAAGAATTATAAAAAGTCGCTGTTATGTGGACTTATCTCGCAGACTTCGGCTGAAATGCCACCCAAAAATGGCGGCGTGAGAAAGGCTAATTAAATTTACTGTCACAGCTCAGAGAAAATAGTGAACAGAATACGGTGACGGACAGTGAAAATGTTACACCATCTTTAGGTCGAAACGCGGACAGTGTTGCCTTCCTCCTCAACATTAATCTCTTGCTCCTTATCCTCGCCTTTTATCGTGTCCCATAAAATTTCCACCTATTTTAGTCTCTATATAATCGTAATTTCCCTAGGTTTTTACGTACATGTTCATCACAGGAGTCGGAGTTAAGAAATTAAGAACAACAATTTTTGGAATACTGGTCCTCTCATTATTTAGGCTACACAATGTCTTGCACCAGTACTTGTCCAATTACCCATTTTATACCAAAAAATGTTGTTACGTTAGTAACTTTCTCTTTCTTTGTGAATCGTAATGCCATATATTTAGCTTATAATTGAAATGGCTAGGGACGACATATTTCTTTTTGTATCAATCTTCAAAGACTTCAAAGGAAAGCCTTTGTTCCTCATTATGATTAATGATTTGAGAGTAAATTCCCCAGGCACAAAAATGTGGAAATTTGTAGACGATGTCTCATCTTCTGAAAATCTTACATCGAACAGCTTCTCGGCCACTCAGTCAACTCTTGATTCTATCGATTCATGGGCAACTTACAATTGTATGAAATTGAATGCCAAAAAATGCAAAGACCTCCGGGTTTCCTTTCTCAAAGAAACCCCGCAGCTACCATCTTTGACAATCGATGGTCACGTGCTAGAAACGGTACAATCGCACAAAGTGTTGGGTTTAATTATTCAAAACAATCTTAAATGGGACGAGCAAATTCGATCAATCGTCACCAAGGCCTCCAAACGGTTATACGGTCTTCGGGTATTATGCCGCGGTGGTATCCCTCCTGCTCATCTTACCAACATATACTTAGCTTCGCGCTTATTCGTTCTATTTTGGAATACTGTTGTGAGGTATGGAATTACGCGATACCCCGCTATCTGTCTGACGAACTGGAAAGAGTACAAAAGCGTGCCATGCGCATTATCTTTCCTGGCCACTCATACGACCATAGGCGTCGAAAGATTGATAAGTGGGGGGGGGACCATATTCATATATTGGTGTTCACAGACCTTAAAAACAATCGATTTCAAAAGAAATTAATGATGCAGAACACGAATATATGAATATGGTCCCCCCCCCCCACTTATCGATCTTTCGACGCCTATGCATACGACGAAGCTCTCCAATTGGCTAATTGCATTAGCGACAGGCGAAACGAAACCTGTATAAATACCTTACAGAAGATTGCTAAACGAGCAGGTCCCCTTGTTGAACACGTGACACAATCCAGAGCTTGTGCTCAACAATATTATTTTGTCATTTACAGATTATTTTGTCATTGTATAAATGCAGAACTGAACGTTTTAAAAACAGTTTCTTTCCAAGAGCAATTGTTGAACTGAATGCCATGAAATAGAGAAAGGAACCTACCTTAGATTAAATGGTTGAACAATTTATATTTATATTTTAACAATATTCTTAACTTAATATTCTTAACTTATATATTAATAATATTCTTAACCTATTTTACCTTATATTTTATAACCGTGTAAATAACTATAAACTAAATTTGACTTTGAATGTAAACACATTGTAATTCATTGTTTATGCGAAAATGTGTCATTAAACACCAAATAATAATAATAATAATAATAATAATAATAATAATAATAATAATAATAATATATAATTTTATGATGACGTTACGAAATCTATGACGTCATGTCATTCGGGCAAATTCAGCCCAGCCCCCCCCCCCAAAAAAAAAAAATAATGTGCCCGTACGCCTATGTACTGATTTGTCAAGAGTATCGTTTGTACCTAATGCCCAGATATTAAAATCTTTTATGATTTGTGCTTCACTGTTTGCTACTTCAGTATTGATATTTATTTTGTTCAAGTTTTTGAAATAATCAAACCATTCAGATGGTAGAATTTCGTGTGAAGTTGTAGGTTTTTGAGTTTCCAGAAATCTTTAGGATTGTTTTCTGATAATAATTCAATTTTATTTAGTATAGAATTATGAAATTGTCTTTTTTGTTTTTTAACTGTACGTTTATATTCCTTCTTTTTGCAAAAAAGAGATGACGTAAGTAAATGTCGTTGGGAAATTTCGAGAGTAGACTACCTAAATTTCTCAAGTTCTTTTTCAGATTGTGACAATTTCCGTCATACCATTCCTGTCTCATTTTGGCATTACCTTTTTTGATCTTTTTCTTTTGCCTCTTAATGTTTAGAACTTTTTGTGATGTATCGGACAAAATTTCTGAGAAATTAGCTACAAGTATATCTGTGTAGGTTGCTTCATCACTAGATACACCTTTATGTTGGAAAAATAGAGATTCTAATTTATTTTCTACTTCGTTCGAACTCATGCATTCTCTTAGAGCATCCTTTTGACTTTCATTCCAAATAAAAGATTTAATATGAGGGGTTAATTTGAAAATATCACCTGAGTTTTGTGGATATTTAATCTGTAGTATAAAAGACAGACATGAATGATGAGAAAATTCAGTGATATCTTCAACATTAAAGCCTACAACAAATGAAAGCAAGCTGTGCGAGATAACAACATAGTCAACCACACTTGCCCCGTTATAGGTCTGACAGGTAAATTGCCCAAGGAGATCACCGTTTGTTCTTCCATTTAAAACAGCCATACCATTACCAATATATAGATCAATAAGGGATTTCCCATAATCATTAACATGGTGATTTTTTGAATATCGCTGGTCTAATGATGGAGTGATATATTTATCATCTTCCAAGAACTTATTGTCAACAAAATCTTCTACAACACCTATTCTAGCATTAAAATCTCCGCACAAAATGATATTGCCCTTGCTTGCAAACTTATAAATATTATTCTGGAGGTTTTCGAAATGATCAGTATTTAATCGTGATTCACGTGATGAATTCTAGGGTGGAATGTATACAGTGCAAATGAAAACTAATATCATGCTTGAGATTAAAAAACGCCGGTTTTGTCCAATTTATAGCAAACAAACTCTTCACTACTTTCCTTGTCTAAAAATTTATCCCTTTTTTAAGAGTTGACTTAACAAGAATAGTTATACCACCAGAACTTCTACGCGAATTTTGAGAAACTGTTTTTCTACATTTTGAAAATGAATGAAAACCATCGATATTAATATTGCATTTTTCATGGGGCAACCACGTTTCAACTAAAGAGACTAAATCAAATTTATGTAGCTTTGAAATAAATTCTGAGTCATCGATTTTACTTAGTAATATATGATTGTTCGGATTGTGTAATGTTTTGACTGCACTTGACTCCCCGTTCGAAAGGTTATTTTGTGAGGATTTCAATGGTGACTTTCGTTTGAAAGGGGGGTAAATACTCGCCGAGATATTTACATTAGAAAAATTGAGTCGTAATGTAATGCGAAACCGGCCTGTCGAGAAAGAGTTTTAAATCATACACACAGTGAAAAATCAATCAATCAATCAATCAAATCAAAAACTTTATTATTGTGTCAAATAAATTCTAGTTTACAAAGAAACTAATTGGGGACACCTACCTATATTAACTACTATTAACTATATAAACAGAATAAATATATTATAACAAATATCTATAATTAGTGTCGATTAATTGTTGCATAAATAGCAATTAGTACAACTATTGGAAATTAAGTCGGCTATATCCATTTGCCGTATGTGTCTTTTAAACGTATCTAAGGATATAGCCGTTTTTATGGACTTATGGATCTTTGACCAAATGAACGGGCCCATATACCTCAAGCTGTGTTTCCCATACGTAACCGTGTTAAATCTAGGTATGGAGAAATCACTTACATTCCTAAGATTGTAATTGCTGGTGTTGTGTTTGAAAAGATTACATACATCAGAGGGTGCCAGATTATTGTTCACTTTATACAACTATGGCTATATCCTGGAGTCTACGATTGTACAATGTAGGAAGTTTGCCTTTCCTTAAGAGATCTTCATACGAGCTACTCCTATCACAATATATGGCCCTAAGTGCTCGCTCTTGTAATCGCTCTATTTTCCTTCTGTCTGATGACAAACAGTGATGCCATACTATGTGACAGTAGGTTATTTGGGGTAGTATAAAAGCTTTAAAGATTCTTAATTTGGCTTCAGTCGGTATCAAGTTCCTGAACCTCATAAGTGTTGTATTAGCATATTATTAGCATAAATCATGATATGTATATAAGTAACCGAACTAGTATTAAAGTCAAGTTAGTAACACAACATGGTGGCAGCGGTGGGATCTTGTTACAGGGCTTGTAAATGAAGTAAAAGAGTGGAAGAGCGGTCGGTTGACGACTTAGAGGCGCCACTAACTTCTTACAAGACTCTAGTCCCTTGATTGCGTTAGAGATAGCCAGAATGGCATCTTTTCAAGTGCAGCCTCCGGAAAAATTTACTTTCAAGCCAGAAGATTGGTTGAAATGGAGTCGGAGATTTGAGCGATTTAGGATGGCGTCTGGTCTCGAGAAAGAAAGCGAAGAAAGCCAAGTTAATACCTTGATTTATTCAATGGGTAGCGAAGCGGACGATATTGTGCAATCTCTCAGTATCGCTGAAGGCGACCAAAAGAAATACGATGTTGTTAAAAAGAAATTGGAAGATTTTTTCATCATCAAGAGAAATGTAATCTTTGAGCGAGCTAAGTTTAACTTGCGAAGTCAGCAGGAAGGAGAAACCGTCGACGTGTTTATTACGGACTTGTTCAACCTTGCAGAACATTGTAATTTCAGTGTTTTACGCGAAGAATTGATCCGTGACCGTATTGTTGTTGGAATTCGGGACAAAGCGTTGTCGGAAAAGTTACAGTTCGAAGCAGACCTAACCCTAGAAAAAGCCGTGAACTTTGCCCGACAGAAAGAAAATGTTAGAAAGCAGCAAGGGTTTCTTCGAGGCGACGGCAAACAGCAAATCGACTATGTGGGCGTGGGGAAATTTGCAAAAATAAGAAAGAATGAGAAATCAAACTTCAAAGATCAAGACAGAGGACAAATACACAAAGGCAACGGAAAATGCAGTAGGTAGTTAGTACCTATGCATCCTAAGAAAAGCTGTCCAGCAAACGACTCAAAGTGTCATAAGTGTGGCAAGATTGGTCACTGGAAAAGAGCGTGTAAAAGCACAGCGATCAGTGAAGTCAGCCGAGACACAGGTGAGATCTTTCCAAATGAGTTTTTTCTAGGCGAAATAGTCGTAGAAAGCATTGAAGCTGAACCGTGGAAAGCAAATCTTACAGTAAATTATTGTAAGTTTCAATTTAAGCTCGATTCAGGTGCTGATGTAACTGTAGTTCCGAAGTACCTTTATGATAAATTGTCAAATAAACGAAAAGTTAAGCTTCAATCAACTGATAAAATACTATTAGGTCCTTGCAATTATCGTCTCAATTGTTTGGGAAAATTTAATGCTAGGATAACCTCAAAGAATAAATTTATTCTCGAGGAAATTTATGTTGTTAAAGATCTGCGTAAACCATTGTTAGGCAAATCAGCATGTGTATCATTAAATTTACTTGGTAAAATCAATGAGGTGGAAAATTCTAAAGCACCAGAAGAAAGCAAATATAAGCAACAAATAATAGATCAATATCCCAAATTATTTAAGGGCTTAGGAGAGCTTGAAGGGGAATATGAGATAAAATTAAAAGAGTTGCCAGAACCTTTTGCTTTGAATGTGCCAAGGAAAGTACCTTTTCCAATGTTAGATAAAACCAAGAAAGAAATCGAGCGAATGTTAAAAATAGGCGTTATTTCCAAAGTAGATCAGCCAACAGTCTGGTGCGCCCCCATGGTAGTTACACCAAAACAAAATGGGGAGGTTCGAATATGTGTTGATCTGACCAAATTAAATAAAAGTGTTTTGAGAGAAGCGTATCCTCTCCCATCAGTTGATTTCACACTAGGGAAGTTATCAAAATCTAAGGTATTTTCAAAATTAGATGCAAATAGTGCCTTTTGGCAAAGAAAGCTCTCAGAATCCTCTCGTTTACTAACCACATTCATTACACCTTGGGGACGATTCTGTTTTAATCGGCTTCCATACGGCATTTCTACTGGAAGCGAACAATTTCAGAAAAGCATGAATAACGTCTTAGAAGGGTTAGAAGGGGTTGAGTGTGAGATTGACGACTTATTAGTCCATGGAGAATCACAAGAGCAGCATGACTCTAGGTTGCATTCAGTTTTGCAGAGACTACAGGAGTCCAAACTTACTTTAAACAGGGATAAATGTGTATTTAGTGTCTCCACGATTAAGGCATTAGGTCATGTTATTTCATCTAAAGGGATATCCCCAGACCCTGACAAAGTTAAAGCCATTTTAGATATTCCTGTACCTACAAATGTTGCCGAAGTTAGATCTTTCATGGGTATGGTGAATCAATTTAATAAGTTTACAAGTCATCTCGCATCCAAATCAAAACCACTCAGAGATTTATTATGTAAAGATTCTGTTTGGTATTGGGGGGATAAGCAAAATGAGTCATTTAATGATCTAAAGAAATGTTTAATTTCTGTCCCAATTTTGGCTCTTTATGACCCAAACAAAGAAACTAAGATAAATGCAGACGCATCTTCTTACGGTATAGGAGGGGTAGTCTTGCAGAAACAAGAAAACAATGAGTGGAAACCCGTTTCTTACATTTCACGCGCACTTACAGATACAGAATCTAGATATAGTCAAATTGAAAAAGAATGCTTGGCATTCACGTGGGCGTGCGAGAGATCGAGTGATTATATTTTAGGAAAATCATTCTCAGGAGAAACTGATCACAAACCATTAGTACCATTACTGACCACCCATACCCTAGACCAAATACCACCACGAATCCAAAGGTTCAGAATGAGATTAATGAGATTCAACTAAGAGAAAATGACGCATGTACCTGGTAAACAAATGTACACTAGTGATGCCCTATCGAGATTGTTAAAACCATTCACTAAACCAGATTGTTGTACCGTGCCAGAAGACGACATGAATGCGTTTGTTGAAACTGTGATTAACTCATTGCCTGTCTCAGATAAGAAACTGAAAGAAATTATCGAAGCTCAAGAAGAGGACGAAGTGTGCAAGAAAGTTAAGCAATACTGTCTCGAAGGATGGCCAGACAAACATATGGTTCCAGATGCTGTGAAGTCATATTGGAGAGAAAGAGGAGAACTTACGGTAGTCCAAAGCTTAATTATGAAAGGAACAAGAATATTGATCCCATCCTGTATGCGATTGAATGTCTTGGACAAGATTCACGAAGGACATTTGGGAATTACGAAGTGTCGAGAACGTGCAAAGCAGTCGGTATGGTGGCCGGGATTGAGCACCCAAATCCAGGATATGGTACAGCATTGTCGAACATGTGCTATGCATATGGTCAATAAACCTGAACCGTTGTTCCCTACATCGTTTCCAGAAAGACCATGGCAAACTTTGGCAATCGACTTTTTCAAATGCGAGAACATTGATTACTTAATTGTAGTTGATTATTTTTCACGGTATGTCGAAATCTGTCCTATGAAGAAGAATAAGACAGCAACCGAAGTTTGCAGAGTCTTGAAGTCCATTTTCTCGCGACATGGTATCCCAGAGAGAGTTAAATCAGATAATGGACCCCCTTTCGATAGCGGCGAGTACCTCCATTTCGCGAACGAGTGGGGATTCGAAGTTCGTCACAGCAGTCCGAAGTACCCTCAGTCAAATGGTGAAGTAGAACGAGCCGTACAAACCATAAAGAGACTGCTCAAGAAAGAGAAAGATAAAGAAAAAACTTTGTTAGCTTATCGATCTACACCGTTATCCTGTGGATATTCCCCAGCCGAGTTGCTGACGGGAAGGAAGATTCGTACAACGATACCAACATTCCATAAATTGTTAACACCGAAGTGGCCCGATCTTATTAAGCTACAAGAACACGAAGCTCAGTCCAAACTACAACAACAGAAGCTAAGTACTTCAATACCCGACATTGTGCAATGCCACTTAAACAAATACCTCAAGGAACTGAAGTTCATATTTCCACCCACCCAGAAAATGGTGTTGTAAAGACTAGTACGGAAAGTCCACGACAGTATGAAGTTGAGACTCCAACTGGTGTTATTAAACGAAACCGTGTTCAGTTGGTTCCACTGCCAGAAAAACCGATCGCGCAAAGAGAAACTAGTGAGTCGGATAATAATATTCCTGAACTCAATATATATTCAAGGCCAAAACGAACTGTAAAATTATCGTTAAAAGCACGCGAGAGCAAAGGACTTGCTTAGAACTTAATAGAACTATAGAACCAGTAAAGTTAACTTGTATTCAATTAAATTTTAATTAGTCAATTATTGAGCAAATTGATTAACGAACACGTAGATTAATATTTTAGAAAAACGTAAAAAAAAAATATTTAAAAAAAAAAGGGAGATGTTGTATTAGCATATTATTAGCATAAATCATGATATGTATATAAGTAACCGAACTAGTATTAAAGTCAAGTTAGTAACACAACAATAAGTACCCCCACCTTTTTCCCTCCCTTACTACATATGTCTCTAATGTGTTTCACAAACTTTAATTCATCGGCTATAGCAATCCCTAATAGGTTTATGATTGAAGTTGAACGTATATTAACGTCTATCATTTCAATGTTTATTTCTTTCTTCTTATTTCTCGGTCCTAAACTCATGACTTGGAATTTGTCGTGGTTACACTTGAGCAGGTTGTCTTGGTACCATTCAGATATATAAATCGCCTCGCTGTTCAAAATTCTTTCCACATCCTCCGTCCTTTCACCACAAGCATATACTTGGTGATCATCTGCATACATTGCTAAGTTACTATTACGTACGTTATAAACGAGATCGTTTTGGAAAATGTTCCAAAGTAGTGGGCCTAGACTTGAGCCCTGCGGACAACCCCTTTTACTATCCCTCCATTGGCTTCTACATCCTGATCGCATACGCACTCTATACTTTTTGGTTGTAGTACACCCTGCATGTACATATCGGCAGCATTTTCCTCGCGATAGTAACTCCTAGTTGTAAATGTTTATAATCATGTGAAGGAGCACAAGCGGCGACAATTTAAAATAAACTGTAGCAAGTATGCTACATGATACGCTTGCTTCAGCACGTTTGATAGCGATCTATTTGTGCCCGTGAGCAGTTTGAGCCGGCTGAGTTTTAGTCGGAACTATTTTCATCCCAAGTTGTTAAATCGCTGAAATGTAGCCTGCCTGTGCACAACACAGACCTTTCTAGCTCGGGTTGAAAGACACGATCGCGATTTGAAGCATTTTTGGCTATTTGATTTGCGTGTTTATGATTACATATACAGTTGTAAATGAATCAAACA